CATTTTTATTTAAGTTTAACAGAAAAAATACATTCACAAAAATGAGAGTATCACCTAAGGTGCAACACTGTATAGACAAGCATTATATATTATTCAACAGACCCTCTTCACATCTATCCATTTCCACTGTCATGCATTGCGTTTTTTGTATTGTTAATTTTTGTGTGTTTTTGTGCATATTGTATTGTTGGTTTAAGCCAATGAGGATGATTTTAGTGACATCATGAGGGAAAGTGCTGTATGGTTTTCAGTGTCTATAGTTGAGGAAGCATGGCTGATATACGCTGTTGTTACTATCTGCCACAGAAACTATCCTAGCACATGGCTGAGCTCATGGCAGGTATTATGGTAGGTGAATTGTGCCTGAACACATGGCAGATATCCAGGGATGATGCTTGTAGCCTTGAGATGACAAGCTGCCAAGTGCTCACCCACATCAAGTTAAAAAACTAAAGCTATACATGCATCTTCATGCACTTCTATAGCCTTCAATGTGCTAGAAAATGCTTACAAATGGATCTAAAATTGAGCATGCTGTGGCTACACTAGTTTTCTTTTTTTTCAGTTTTTCCCCTTTATTTTCACCTGGTAATTCTGAGAATAACACACTTCCTGTCCCTGGGTGGCTACATTCACTCCTGCACTGTATCTATGGAGGAAGCCATGGTTGTCACACAGGTTCAGCTTCAAATATGTCTGGCTTTGTTCATCTCAATTCCATATAGGCTGATGGGCTTGGTAGTTTACAGAAGAGAGATACGTAAGTGCATGTCACAGGATGTTACAGGCACTGCATTTCTTGCTAGAACAACTGGTATTTTCTGTTCTTGCTGGAAATGTTCTTAGCCTGAAAATGAAACTTACTGTAATCACAACATCTAAGCTGCAATATATTACATGTTTGTTTTGCATTTAGTTATCCTTTACTAATGAGGTCTGCTAAATGAATTATATGCCACTAATAGTCTGATGGGTGGTTCATATAGTCTGTTGTTATTCAGGAGCTTGCAGCAAGTTTTCTCTTAATTAGCTATAGTGATGGTATAGTCTTTCACCAGACATTCCTGGTTAATCACTTGGAATGCTGAGAACTTTTCCAAGTATTTCATCTGAAAGGTGTAATTCTGAGGAAGTAAGGTTTTTCAGTCTACTTCTCAATGCCAAATAATAGATGCCTACAAGATCAGCACTATGTGGCAGGTCAAACATCATAACACACCTAAAATACTAACTGTTTATGTTATTGTTATGTCTTCTGTGACAAAGAACATTAGCTTGTGAGGTTGTCTACAGTATTTTACATTCTTCTTTAAATATACCTTATATTACAGGAACAAGATCAAGACCAAGGACTAAGGAAGCTGAAGTTCTCGAAGCAGAGCTTATCAGTAGGACCCATCATTTACTGTCATATGATTAGTCTTGATAAAAGAACTTAATTTTTTAATATTATTATTATCATACAGTATTTATATAGCGCCAACAGTTTGCTCAGTGCTGTACATTATGAAAGGAGACAGTACACGAGACAGTATAGTAACAATACCTTTCAATACACGAGGGTTCGAGGGCTCTGCTCCTTGGAGCTTACAATCTAGGAGGGAGGGGATAGTGGTACAGGAGGAAATAGCTGTGGGGGATGGAGTGGTAGGAAGAGTTGAGGAGTTCAGTAATTAGCTGAGGGCGGGGTCGGCTTCCCTGAAGAGATAGATTTTCAGAGTGCACTTAAAGGTGAGGAGAGTAGGTGACAGTCTGATGGATTGGGGTAGGGAGTTCCAGAGAATGGGGGAAGCCCTGGAGAAGTCCTGGAGATGGGCATGGGAGGAGGAGACCAGGGAACTGGAGAGTAGGAGGTCTTGTGAGGAGCAGAGAGTACGTTTTGGGTGGTATTTGGATACCAGATCGGTGATGTAGTTTGGGGCAGTATTATGAACAGCTTTATAAGTCAATGTGAGCATTTTGAATTTTATCCGTTGGGCAATCTACCAGCCTCTAGTGCAAGTAGCTGTACTTCTGTGTATTATTATCTTTATTAAGGGCTCCTTCACACTTGTGTGTGCATTGATGTGCATTTTTGATGAACCAAAGTGCAGTGTATTGACTGTGCCCATTCGTTTTTAATGCATCCTTAACGGGCATCAACCTTCTTGACCTTGTAAAGCAAGAAGTATAAATTCAGCCCTATAAAATACAAGATGACTTGCAGTACTTATAGAGGTTACATATAATTTTATTAAAAGTGAACTTTTCTAATAATGTATCTGGACAAAAACTGAGGTGAAAACATCAACGATCTCCCAGATCATATATCCTGGCTCTTACACAAAGACATTTTCGGTGTTACATCACTGAAAGCATCTCTGCGATCCCTTCAGATGGACATTCTCCACCTTCAGAACGTATTACTAACATATTATACAAGGTCACACTCTGCCACATGAGAAAGAATCATCAATTTAAGTATGGGTGACTTTTGAGTTCCATTCATTCTGTTTGCTGTGTATGTGAATGTGTTCTACACTCCATTATGTTAGATATTCTGTAAAGCATGCTTCATTTACAAAAAAATGAGACCTACAAGATTAATTACAACAAACATTCTCTTGTCATCACAGTGTTAAAAATCAAAGGTGGTGACGCTTAATGCTGTCACCCCCTCTGACCTACCACCTAAGGTCCTCTTTTCATCTCCCTATCCCCCCCTTCTTGTTTTTTTTTTATAATTTTTTTCTTTTACAACCTCCCTTTCTCTTCTCTAGGATAACTTTTCTTTAATCTGGTTCCACTCTTTCCTACAGGTCACTCCTATCCACTCCAAGCTGGACATGTACAAGCTATATTGTGTTCAGAACTGTATAGTTCTCTTTGGTTGTCAACTTGACCCATGTAAAACCTGACTGTAATTTTTCTGGGGTCTTGTATACTTCCTCATGAAGACATAAGGGGGTTATTTACTAAGTCAAGAGAGTGCAAAATCTGGTGCAGCTCCGCATAGAAACCAATCATCTTCCAGGTTTTCTTGTCAAAGTTTAATTGAACAAGCTGAACTTAGAAGCTGATTGGCTACCATGCACAGCTGCATCAGATTCTGAGTGCAACAGTTTTAGTAAATCCCCTCCATGTTGTATTGCAATTTGTTCTTTGCAAACTTTTCATATTGAAAAAATAAAAACTAAAGAAATAAAAAAAAAAGGTACTATCATAATTCACAACTGTCCCTCATTTGAAGGGACTGTCCATGTTTTTAAACCAAATGCCCCTCTTTCCTGAACAGTTGTCTCTCTCTTTGTCTGCCATATGGACACCTGTTAAAAAGTATACTATTTAACTATAAAAAGTGTTGTACTACACTAAACCTTTCATCCATCCTCAAAATGGTTACATTTGTTATTTTGAAAATATAAAGGAAAAATCATGGTGAAAAAGCGCGTTTGGGTTTCACCAATCATTTTTTGCATATGCCAAGCAAATGTTTCCATTCAGCCTCAAAACTGCAGTCAATATGTTCTTCACTTGATGCTGTGTGCTTGAATAAGGATGAATGGGCAAAATGGTGACATTAAATGAAATGGTAAATACAATCACACACAAGCAATTATTTCTAGAGTGTATACAAAGATGAGATTCTCTGTATTTATGGATGCATAAAAGAATTACAGAACTTATTGGGCTGCTTCCATTTTCACATGGTGTCCTCATAAACCCTCAGTAATTTAATTGTCTGGGACTGGTGATAGATTTTTACTTAGCAGCGTTTTTCTATATCCTTTCCCTGCAGTGATGTGTTTCTGATGCTCTTTACAGGCCTTAGATCATCACTCTCTACTCCTTTCATCAATGTGCTGGGAGCAGCTTTACTTTTGTTTCCCCAGTTGATCCCATCAGCCAGGGGAAAGCTCAGCCACTTAACAAAATCAGCAGTCATATTCCGGTCTCACTCCGACCCCCAGCCTATTATTGTGCTGCAGCAGCCTGCCAATCCCACCTAACAAAGCCCAGCAGATCCCCCCATAATCCTGATGACATCATTTAGACAGGTAAACAGGCAGAAGTTTCAATTTATAATTTTATGATTAATACTTTTATTGAGTTTTTGTGGCCTATATGTAAAATAATTTGACCAGAGAATTGAACTTTGCTATCCCTAGTTTGTACAGTTTAACAGTATAAGGATATATATATATATATACTATATATATACTATAAACCCACAGTTTTTATTTAACATTTTAATACTTTTGTTATATTTTCACTTGATTAAGGGTAATTTATAAACAATTGGCATAGCCATTTGCCCAGTGACAGTGCATGTACATTTGTTCTGTCCAAATGGAGCTAAATAGCTGAAAAAAAAGAATGTATGTAGGCTACTATATGCTATGTTGGTTTAATGTAGAAACATAGAAACATAAAGGAGTAATGGCATAAAAAGACAAAGTGGTCCACATCTGTCACATTTTTACAAAATATTTATGCTTGTTTAATATTTTTTTTTTACTTTTTTACTTTTTTTGTCTGACTATAGATCTATTTTTGTTCTACACATGTTTTAATCTACTTAGTATTGACTGATTCACGACCTCTGCTGGAAGTCTATTCTGAGCAACAACTATTCTCTCAGTAAAATAATACTTTTTTAAGATTAGTTTTGAACTTTCCCCCTTCTAGTATGAGTTCTCGTTCCCAGGTTCCTGTTTATGGCTTCATATTGAAAATACTGCCCCCCTGAACCTTATTCACCCTCTTGTGTGTAAATAATCGAGTTTTAACTAAAAAATACTGCATTTGGGCACTAGCTGGAGCTAAGTATTTTAGGAAATTCCTATCATACTTTGCTCCATCATTGTTTGTTTTCTTTTATTATCACCTAGTGATCCTGCTAGTAAGTCAGTTTTTTCAACTTCCTTTAGCCGACCAAGCAGTGTAGCAAAAGTGGAAGTTAGAGGGTTGAGACAAATGATGTACCACTGACAGGGATGGTTATAATGGTCAGTTTGTATCAGGGGCAGACTGACCATTTGGAAACCCGGGCACCGCCCGAGGGCCAGGGGTCAGTAGGGGGCCCCATGAGATGCCCCTGGTACCTTTTTCATAGGCTTTTTGAGTTTGGGCAGGGACACAGGGGTCCCATGATCCCCTATTGCCCGGGGGCCCCATGAGTTGTCAGTCCGCCCCTGGTTTGTATTAATTTATTTAAAAACTTAATTTACTTAAAAAAATATTATCTAGAGTTTGTCCTTAATTTGTTAGACACATCCATCTAAATCTGCTAGTACATCTTACTTTATCCTCTCCCCGTGTTGACAATGCTGCTGTCCAAAGGTGTCTCCATTGCTCTTCAATACAGAGTAATGACAACCTAATACAGGTAGTGTGTTACTTGCCAGATCACCAAGTGAAAAGAAAAGGGAAAAAAGCCTAAAAAAAACAGATGCAGCCACCAAATTTAAGGATTGGAAAGCTGCAATTTATTACATTTTTGCTTTTTGATTTCAAACTGATGTAAAAGAAGTTTTAAAAATACATCTGTGCAAAGAAAAGGGTTAATATTACCCCTACCACTGTCTGCACCACAGGTCTCTGCTGTCTTCAAGCCCTACAGTGAATATCCTTTCAGGCAAACTGCAGCATGTTTTGTTTCCTTGTGCTGGCCCCTACAATAAATTGCTGCAATTTTTGATCTCCTATCTGTGGCTTAGCAATCCCTACACTCGACAAAAAAGTTATTGTTATTACTCTTGGTTATGTCACATGGACATCCAATCATAAAAGATGAAGTGCTACTGAAAATCTTCAACAGACTTTTAATCACTTCCCAGACCTGGCAACAAAGACAATAAGGGAACAGTCTACTTTACTAAATCCTCCTATTGATGTTTGCCTTTCACCTTTGACCTGTGTGAGCAAGCTGCATTTTGAGAGCCTGCATGGTGTTTCATAAAAGATTTTGGCGGACCGAGATGCTAAAAAATAAGATTTAATTAATAACAGATCATTGAAGAATGTATATTTTGGGGTTACAAAATAATTGGCAAATTTACAGCTGAGGGTCCCATAAAATGATACATTAAGGTGGCCAAACAATTATAGATCTGTAATCAGTGTACAAACAATCACAACAAAGTGTAACACACTCCTAGTTAGCTAGGGGGAATCTCTAGCTTCAATTGTTAGACAGGCTGAGCAGCAGAGTGAGAGGTTAAATTTGTGTCAGAGCTGAGAGGCTCTGCAGGCCAGCCCCTCTTGAATATCCCCCTGCTCAAGAACTTTGGAAAAAGGTCTAGAAGCAGTGGGTGGATCTGAGGAATGGCTGGCTTGTACTCTTAAGGGATCTGGCCAATCCCCAACAGGAGGCTTGGCAAGGGGCCAGGACAACCCTTAAAAGTGAGAGAGCCCGCTCAGCAGCAGGAGAGTTTGGGTGGAAGATGGAGAAGTAGGCTGAAGTGCAGGAGCCTGGGAGCGGGCTATATGGGAGAGGGGCTCATCTACAGGTGGAAGGGCTGGACAGGAAGAAAACTTGCACCCTCACCAGCTCCCTGAGAGAGGACCACCTGAGCAGCAGAGGAGAAGCGGTCCAGCTAGAAGGCCTTATAGCAGCCACCGAATCAATAGCAGCCACCGAATCAATAGCAGCTCAGGAGAGGGACAAGTAAGCAAACCTACACCCCCTGGGCCAGATAGGGGAAGTAGCAACCAGATTAGCAAACATGCTTGGACTGTTTTACTTTTAAAGTGGCAGAACTGGTTCCCCTGTCCATGGATTTCCTTCAGGCAGCCAGATCAATTAATATTTGGGGTCTGGAGAGGTACACTGGGAGGTGCTGGCTAGCTCTCCAACAGAGACTGTGTTGCAGTGGACTTGTAAATAGTTCCAGGAAGTTGTCCTCAGTTCATCAGTTTCATTGGGCATCCCACATACCCCTTTCCCCATCCATGTTGATATCCCCCAATAGAATATCAAAAACAAGCTCAAGGACTATTTTCTGACTCCTGGATCTAAGTTGTGGTGGAAATGCATGTTGCCTGGCTATGCAGGACTATAGGGGGTCCCAAAACTTCAGCAACTCCTAAAGGGGTAGAGCTACACAAGTAATTAATTACTGATTAAAATATTGAGCAAAGCAATTCATACAATATTGACTGAAAATAAGATCTATCAGAAATTATCTATTAAAATGTAATTAAATTTAAATTCATTAGCCTTCTTTCCTTCTTCTTTTATTCCAAAATACCCTTCCATACCTACGTTCAACAGGTACAATTATAAAGTTGTATATTACCCACTATTAGGAAGATACCGTTTCATTGTTGGGACATTTCTTAAGCTTGAAATTAATTTACAAGCCTTCTTGTAATGTATTTTTGGATTAGCAATGGAGAAACTTATTGTGGATAGGGAAACTTCTTCACTCCTTACAGGTGAAAGGGAGGTCTCTCCAGTGTATCTGTATATACGCTATATTGGGACACCCCTCCAAATCCCCTCCAATGATTTGGACACCCCTCCAAATAATTGGATTCAGGTGTTCCAATCATCTCCATGGCCACAGGTGTATAAAATTAAGCACCTAGGCATGCAGACCACTTCTACAAACATTTGTGAAAGAATGGGTCGCTCTCAGGAGCTCAGTGAATTCAATCGTGGTACTGTGATAGGTTGCCACCTGTGCAATAAATCCATTCATGAAATTTCCTTGCTACTAAATATTCCACGATCAACTGTTAGTGGTATTATAACAAATTAGAAACAACTGGGAACAACAGCAACTCAGCCACAAAGTGGTAGGTCACGTAAAATGACAGAGTGGGGTCAGCGCATGCTGAAGCGGACAGTGCGCAAAAGTCACCAACTGTCTTGCATAACAACAGTGCATAAAGAGCTTCGTGGAATGGGTTTTCATGGCTTACAAGTCTTACATCACCAAGTGTAATACAAAGCGTTAGATGCAGTGGTGTAAAGCATGCCGCCACTGGACTCTAGAGCAGTGGAAATGTGTTCTCTGGAGTGAGGAATCACGCTTTTCTGTGTTGTCAATCCGATGGATGTGTCTGGGTTTGGCGGTTGCCAGGAGAACGGTACTTGCCTGACTGCATTGTGCCAAGTGTAAAGTTTGGAGGAGGGGGGATTATGGTGTGGTGTGGTGTTGTTTTTCAGGGGTTGGGATTGGTCCGTTAGTTCCAGTGAAAGGAAGTCTTAAGGTGTCAGCATACATAGACATTTTGAACAATTTAATGCTCCCAAATTTGTGGGAACAGTTTGGGGAAGGCCCCTTCCATTTTCAACATGATTGTGCACCAGTGCACAAAGCAAGGTCCACAAAGACATGGATGAGTGAGTTTGGGGTGGAGGAACTTGACTGGCCTGCCATAAACCCGATAGAACCTCTTTGAGATGAATTAGAGCGGAGATTGCGAGCCAGGCCTTCTCGTCTGACATCAGTTCCTGACCTCACAAATGCACTTTTGGAGGAATGGTCAAACATTCTCATAGACACACTCCTAAATCTTGTGGACAGCCTTCCCAGAAGAGTTGAAGCTGTTGTAGCTGCAAAGAGTGGGCCAACTCAATATTGAGTCCTACGAACTAAGACTGGGATGCCATTAAAATTCATGTGCATGTAAAGGCAGGTGTCCCAATAATTCTGGCAATATAGTGTGTATATACACACACACACACACACACACACACACATACAGTATACAGTGGGGAAAAAGTATTTAGTCAGCCACCAATTGTGCAAGTTCTCCCACTTAAAAAGATGAGAGAGGCCTGTAATTGGCATCATAGGTAGACCTCAACTATGAGAGACAAAATGAGAAAAAAAATCCAGACAATCACATTGGCTGATTTGGAAAGAATTTATTTGCAAATTATGGTGGAAAATAAGTATTTGGTCAATATAAAGAGTTCATCTCAATACTTTGTTATATATCCTTTGTTGGCAATGACAGAGGTTAAACGTTTCCTGTAAGTCTTCACAAGGTTGGCACACACAGTTGCTGGTATGTTGGCCCATTCCTCTATGCAGATCTCCTCTAGAGCAGTGATGTTTTGGGGCTGTCGCTGGGCAACACGGACTTTCAACTCCCTCCAAAGATTTTCTATGGGGTTGAGATCTGGAGACTGGCTAGGCCACTCCAGGACCTTGAAATCCTTTTTACGAAGCCACTCCTTTGTTGCCCAGGTGGTATGTTTGGGATCATTGTCATGTTGGAAGACCCAGCCACGTTTCATCTTCAATGCCCTTGCTGATGGAAGGAGGTTTGCACTCAAAATCTCACAATACATGGCCCCATTCATTCTGTCCTGTACATGGATCAGTCGTCCTGGTCCCTTTGCGGAGAAACAGCCCCAAAGCATGATGTTGCCACCCTCATGCTGCACAGTAGGTATGGTGTTCTTTGGATGCAACTCAGCATTCTCTCTCCTCCAAACACGACGAGTTGTGTCTCTACCAAACAGTTCTATTTTGGTTTCATCTGACCATATGATATTCTCCCAATCCTCTTCTGGATCATCCAAATGCTCTCTAGCAAACTTCAGATGGGCCCGGACATGTACTGGCTTAAGCAAGGGGACATGTCTGGCACTGCAGGATCTGAGTCCCTGGCGGTGTAGTGTGTGTGTTACAGATGGTAGCCTTTGTTACGTTGGTCCCAGCTCTCTGCAGGTCATTCACTAGGTTCCCCCGTCTGGTCCTGGGATTTTTGCTCACCGTTCTTGTGATCAATTTGACCCCACGGGGTGAGATCTTGCGTGGAGCCCCAGATCGAGGGAGATTATCAGTGGTCTTGTATGTCTTCCATTTTCTAATTATTGCTCCCACAGTTGATTTGTTCACACAAAGCTGCTTGCCTATTGCAGATTCAGTCTTCCCAGCCTGGTGCAGGTCTACAATTTTGTTTCTGGTGTCCTTCGACAGCTCTTTGGTCTTCACCATAGTGGAGCTTGGAGTGTGACTGTTTGAGGTTGTGGACAGGTGTCTTTTATACTGATAACAAGTTCAAACAGGTGCCATTGATACAGGTAATGAGTGCAGGACAGAGGAGCCTCTTAAAGAAGAAGGTACAGGTCTGTGAGAGCCAGAACTCTTTCTTGTTTGTAGGTGACCAAAAACTTATTTTCCACCATAATTTGCAAATAAATTCTTTCCAAATCAGCCAATGTGATTGTCTG